TACTTTGAATTATATAAATCATGAAAATATGTCATTCCGGACTGTAATTAAACTAAATAGATAATAAAAAATATTAGCTTTATGAGAAGAATTTGGTGTTCGTAGAAAGAAACTAGTTTTCAAGGAATTTATGACGTAATCTTGTTAATATTAACCTATAAGTAAAGTTTATGTTTTTGATAATTACTTTGTTAAAGATTTTAATTTAATGTTAGTAAAAGTCACATTTTATACAGGAAGTTGCCTTTAAAAAAATAGTAATTCTTGTATTAATAATATGGAATTTTTACTTGTGGTAATAAAAAATAGAATATAAAAAACTTCGGTGTTTTAAATAAACTTTTTAAAATATTACAGATGTCCGATTTTGAGTCCAGTGATTCAGATGACTTATTAGACGCATTGTCCAGCTTGAGTGATGATGAAATAGATTTATTCTAAGAAACAGAAAGAGTAAAAAATAAGAACTACTTTGAAATTACTGTACCTGAATATAGTGGCCAAGTTTTTTTAACATTTCCGTGTTAGCATATGGGAAGTAGCTAACAGAATTGAAGAAAAATTTGCCATTTCTAATTATTTCACCCATGATTCTGGTAAATTTTGCATTGCCTTAAGCTCTACAACAACCAGAAAAGTTACATACTTGCTAAGTAACTTGTCTCCATAAATTATAGAATGGCCGAGATAATGAGGCAGTTGTAATCGAACAATATTTTGCCCAATATGAATTTCCAGAGCAGGTTATAGGAATAATTGATGGGAAAGGAATTCATATAAGATAGAGTATATCACAATCCATATTTTTTTTGAATAACCAATAATATACTATATTATAGTGTAACTGAAAACTGACTATGGAAAGTCGATAAATTATGGTTGGACAATTTCTAAGCTGATTGCCATGTTGTCGGTTTAGACTTCTCAATGCTTCGAGAGTCATATCGCTCTCTTCTCAAAATGTCAAGAAGCTTAAAACAACATAACCAATTGATACCAAAATTTTAACAAAATATAGGTACTCCATTATAAAGGTCACAAAAACTAGGTAATCTAAATATTTTATAACTGTTTAAAATCGATTAGTTTTCTGGGTATATATTTTAAAATTGCTGTAAAATTTAATTCTACTTTCGTAAAATTGTTGATTTAATTCGAACGTAACATGGTTCCATGACTTATTTCAAGGTAGAGTATAGACCAAAATTAATAAGGTATTATAAAGAAATATTTTAGCAATGTTCTATATTTTTGTTACATATTTTGTAAAAATAAAATGTTTATCTACCAAAGATTTCAATGTTTTATTAATTGAATAAAAAAAACGAAATTATTTGTGCCTAATTAAAATAAAATAAATATTTATTCATAACAAACAAGTAACAAAGTAAATATATATTACAAATAAAACAACTTAAAAATAAGTAATACGTGTCAGTCTATCTTCTTAAAATTTCATTTTGTTCATGAAGCAATTGATTTCCATGTTTAAATATTTAGTAAAAGTAGTCAATTACCAATACAGATCGATCAGCATCAATTACTACACGTATCCTCTCTTTAAATTTTATATGATATCTGAATTTCAATCAGTTTTTTACTAACAGGAAAGAAACAGCAACTAATTGGAAATGATTTATTCAATTCAGTAATGATAATAGCGATGTCACCAGCAAGAATTATATGAAAGATACGAATTTAATTATTTATGCACGTAATATAAATTACAAGAATATGTAGAAATAAATAAAGTATACTTTGTTGCTATTGTCAATATTATGTGAACATATTCATAGTTGCTTTGTCGAGACCTCATCACACGTCAACAGAACTTTTCTTTTATTAGATTATACAGGACAGGATGCTCACTTTCTAGTATAATCTCATCGTAACTTAATTGCTCTTGATTTACTTGCTGTTCTTGTTGTTGTTGTTGTTGTTGTAACTGTTGCTCTTGTTGTAGCTGCTGCACCTGTTGTTGCTGGTGTAGCGGATGCTCTTGCTGTTGATGCTGCTGCAAAATATATAAAGAAACAATGCATCATTCAATTATACAATATTTTCACTTATGAAATCTTTCTATTTAAAAATTTCTCTACCGTATTAAGAATCAAAGAAGCTGCTTCCAACTTCCGAATTATTCGACCTTTTGCCATAATATTAACCCACTATTCGGTCAAGTTGTAATATAGAACTGCTGGACATCATTAGATTGAAAATGCAGATCACAAACGTACTGTTTTATTTTAAATCTGTTGACAGTCATTCCCTTCACATACTATTACCATATTTAAATTATTTTCGAAACTTTTTATTTACCATTTATAAAAACAAATTGTAATAATTATTGACTTGACTTCTAGTTTTTAAGTTTAGTATACCTCCCCTCTACCCAAAATATCTACTAAACTCGATATAAATAAAATAAAATTGGTTATTTGCTTACTTCACTCGTATTTGTGAAGCTACATTCATTTGGGACATGGAACACTAGCGCCACCTCAACTTCTGCCATTACTTGGACAAATTTTGTCAATTTTTCCGTATGAGTTCGTGCTCCTTATCTAGTCTCCATGATGAAAACGACCAATATCTCGTATCTCGAGTGATCACTCGATTATTAGAAGTACTCGATTACCGATAACTCGATTATCAAAATTGGTCGATTATGCCCATCACTAGGTATTTCTGCCCAACACACACTGAAAGAAAGGGGTTGATTTTATAAATAATAAAAAATAATTTTACTTACAAAATTAAAGTAACGAAATGATTACAGATGACGCCATCTAGTTATTTTATTTTACACTATATTAATAGTAAAGTTGAGACATGCGCCATCTATTGAACACCGACAGAACTAGGTTATGAACACGGAACAGTATATCATAGAATATTTAGTACAGAGAATTATGACTCTGTGGAAGGCATATGGCATATCACAATACTAATTTTCAATTAGTAAGTAATATCAGTAGTCGTTACCTCTTCAAATGTAATATTTTTCGTGTACAACACAACCAGGAAAAATTTACGATGGTTCTCTATCCCATGGAAAAGACAAATATTACCATTCCTATCTTCGTTTTCTATGCTCATTCCTCTTTCTCTCTCTCTCTCTCTCTCTGACTATTGACAGAACACAACAAACCATCAGTTCTATCAAAATAATTACCAATTTTTCTAACCTAAAAGTTAGTTCACTGAATGATTCGAAATAATTAAGTAAATTATTCGTAAATATGTTTAAAAACACATTCCAAAGTGGATTTTTGTCAATACTCTACAGTATAGGAAGTAAACCATTACAAATTTGGGACAAGAAATACAAAAATGGTCACATAAAAAGGATCACAGACGAAGATATCCAGTCGCTGGTCCTGGAACTCATCGGATGTAATGTGAGTACGACTTATATCACTTGTCCGGCCGATCCAAAGAAGACTCTGGGTATCAAGCTGCCTTACCTTGTGATGATCGTTAAGAATTTAAAGAAGTATTTTACGTTTGAAGTACAGGTATGTAATGCAATGTTATTGATCAAACAAAACGTAGACTATAGCCATAAATTAATCTTTACCTATTACATGTGCGTGTTTATGATTAAGAAAAGTGATTTCCTCCTGTTTTAGATTTTAGACGATAAAAATGTTCGTAGAAGATTCCGAGCAAGTAATTATCAGTCGACGACTCGAGTGAAACCCTTCATTTGTACCATGCCGATGAGGCTAGACGAGGGCTGGAACCAAATCCAATTCAACGTTGCAGACTTCACGAGACGGGCATATGGTACTAATTATGTGGAAACGCTTAGGGTGCAAGTGCACGCTAATTGTAGGATACGTAGAGTTTACTTCTCCGATAGGCTGTATTCAGAGGACGAGCTTCCCGCAGAGTTCAAACTGTTCCTCCCTATTCAGAATAAGACTAGAACAGCCGCCACAGCACAATGAGTAAGACCTGTGACGGTCACAACGGTGATTTTGACTGAACGGAGCACTTTTAAATTTTGGCCGTACCGAGGATATGTTTCGTGTATTTATAATAAGGAAGATATTGTTTTTATTTATAGCTTTGTATGGAAATGTTCGGTTAATAAACTAAATTTTGGATATCGAACAGACGTTTTTATGTTTAGTTTCTTCGTAATAAGATTTGAATTAAAATTTTTAGGTAAATAGGTCAATAAATAATGACTGAATTGGTTTTTTGTGAATATTGTTGGGAAAAAAGTGAAATAAATATGCTATGCTAAACTACAGGGTATTTTTAAAATTGAGGACAAACGAATATTTTTTACACCTAAAAAAAAATGTTTATCTTGGCACTTTCACAAAAATATGGCTCTAAGAGCATCAAAATCAATCGAAAGAGCATCAACGATCCAAAAAAGTAATGTTCTCTTGTAAAAAAAAAAAATATTTAGCCAGTGCACGTTTTACTGCATGGCATAAAAAAACACTACTGTAATTTACATTTTTTTTTTGAAATGCTTAAAGAATATTGCCAAAGAAACCTAAACTATGAATGCTATGAAGTGAGAAAACTGAAAGCACAAAATATATAATAGAACTGAAAGCTTCCCTATTAGAGTGATTTTCAATTAATATAATAGATGTCGCACCCTTCGTTGTTCTCGCCAATATTGTCGCAGCGCCACCTATTCGAATTTGGTTTAATTAATTACTTCATAACTTCTATCCTATTGGCCCGTGTTGTGTTGTGTTATATTATAATATAATGTATCCACTATTCAAAAGATGGACAAAATATTAAAGAACTAAATTATAATAACAATACCATTGTTTTTTAGTATATGTAGTTAACCTGAATTTTTTCATATTTTTCTCAATGTTTTTTGAGAAAATCTTCCAAGAATTAAAGTGCTCATCTAAAGGTAATTTTGTCTCGACTTTTTCTTATAATATAATGTAATGTACATGTTAATATCATAAATAATTTTTTTTATTAAGTTAAAAAAAATATGAATAAAAAACTGGCGACCCTGGTTAAATTTAGATTTTGTGAATTTTTATGCAACCTAGCCTAGAACGCAAAAGTGTGTTGGATGTTGCATACTCAACAAAATTTGAAATGAAAGTGGAAGGAAAAAATAAAAAATCTCGGAAACTGGTTGGACTAAAGAGGAACTGAATGCAGTTTTGGATTATTCAGGGCCGTTATAGTGCATCGGAATTTTTTCAGATTTTTCTGAGCTCTATAAAATTTTTAAATTGGTCTAAAAATTTTAAAAAAATTAAAATGCTAGTCTGATGGATAGCTATGATTATTTTTGTACCTATTTTACTTTTTCCTTTTATTACAGACTTGACAACTACTTATTAACCACGTTTTTTTCCTAGAATTTACTCGCTGAATAAAAAAATTTATATTAAATTGCAAATTTTACATTAAAACAGTCATTTTAATTATGTAATTTTACTGCGTAAGGTCATTGTAGAAGCAAATTTAATAAAATTTATTTAAAAAAAAATAATAAAATTTTACAGATCGTCTTTTGTTGCTTACTACGTAATAATTTGTTTATTAGTTTACTTTGGGACTTATATTATACAAAAAAATACATATTCTCAGAATAGTATAGTTTATACAAAAAAGAGACACAAATAGGTATTTTTCCTTGCATTAAGTGCCTGACTATGTATATACGTGGCATATATGTGTATATCATGTAGAACGCGACTCCTTCAACTTTTAGAATCGCGATATCTCAGGAATGGTGATTCTTAGAAAAAAAAGTATAAGAACCATTTTGTAGATAATTTTAAGGTCTATAATTTTTGTCAGGGATACTTTTTTGATAAAACTTACCATTTTCGAAAAAAATCCAAAAAACTTCAAATTTTGATCTTTGACCCCGAATAAGCACAGCTTTTTTAGCACACATGGGATCGATGGGGATTTTTGACACTTTATTTCTAATGGTGTACTCAAGGTCTCCACCAAAATTTAGCTCTGTCGGAATTTTCGTTATTTGAAATGTCTATTTTGACTGGACCATAAGCTTTATTTATCCATTTTTGCAATTTAGATTCGACACTGACTTCAGCAATATAGGAAGTGTTTAACAGAGAAAACTAATAACAGTTTTAAATGTTATCGTAACAACTAAACAACTTCAAACAATACCCCTCAAGGAAAAACGAAGGAGTAACAAACTGTTATTAAGTAATTGTAAAATATTTATAACTAACATTAACCAGATTTTCGTAAACATGACGTTTATGTCTGTTAATTTTGTAATAAAAATATTGTTGCGAACAAAAAAACATACACTTCATCTTGCAAATAAAGTATATAAGGCATATAAAAATAGCATACCTAAATACGTAAGTATGTACAGTTGTTTTTATAACCCTGCTAAAAGGTTTTTAATTGAAAACGTAATTTTTTCAGAATTAGTTGTTGGAACAACAAACCAAACACCTTAGCGGTTTTTAATTATTTTGAGAATGAATCAAAGTTTCAACTGTCTAATAATAATAGGCTTGAAAAATTCTTTTTGATATGTATCCTTTACAATTTATATTTAATGTTCAATTACCCACAGATTTTTTTCCAATTCACATTTTGTTGATAAGCGGTATCCGCCATTTTGTATGGAAATGAATGTTAGACAGTCCGTTATTTAAATAATAATAACTAACTAGTCTGAGCCATAATGACGATAAATTATGCTTAATTTGTTTAATACAGACGTACTGTTCTTGAATTATATGATACTTCTGTTTTTTTAACATCTTAATGCTATGTAATTTATTAAACCTCTAAATATTGTTGTTCAATTCTATATGACGGCATAAATTTTTGCATCACAAAATCAAGGAAAAATTAGTGTTTACATACTGTTTTGCGATTTTGTAAATAATTTTATGGAAAGTATAGTAGATATTTCGCTAAATATACGTCTAAAATAATTAACAAGACGAAATATATGCATTTGCATGTTTAGTTTATTAAAATATGTTCGACATCGTGGAAGGCTAAACAAATCCAAAACAACCATTTAAAATACATATAAAATACACAAATAAACAAATTTACCTAAGAGGAAAGCACTCGATTAATTTCAGTGATTTTGAAATATGCCCTCTGAAAAGTTATAGCCGTTAATGCCAATGTAAAAATAAATAAGAAAGCTTATCACAAACACCATGGCATAAACTATCATGGCTGAATAGTTGAGTACCGCCTACTTTGATTTTCGCGAGCTTTGGCTACGATTCAGGAGACTTTGTACCTTTCTTGATTAATTCTCCTCGATAACGTGCATAAAATAAGCATTATTTAACCTGTCCGGTGGTGACGTTACGTTAATTAGTTTCTTGAGTAGGTTGTTTTTGATTTTCGCGACACTGACGCATGTGAATTACATAAAAACATCTAAACGTCTAAATATTTTGCGAATTTTTCTGTACAACAAGTAGAAATTCAAAACAAATCAGTGAACTATATCAAAATGGCCTGTCATTATTAAGAATAAAAATGGACGGAAGTATCTATCGTTTGTAGTTTGCAATTAAAAAATAATTTTTGCCCCGGTCTGGACTATTTCTTGTTCCAATATTTGCCGAAGCGAGTGGATCTCTACAGGAAACGTGCTAATTCAAACTTGTTACGAGGACAACATAGTTGCAAATTTTTTTATTACCCATTTCTGAGAAGAATAGTCAGCCGTCGTTTATTGACTGAATCGTTAATTGGTATTTATTCAAAAAGTATTTAACCAACTCTATTTATCCTAGTCTATAAAAATTTTAATTTATTTTCTAAAGTTACCTTTGGAACGATAGATAATATTTACCCAGTGATTCTCCAATGATTTGCAAACTTCCAAAGCAACAATTTCTTCCTGATTATAAGTTACTGTTTACCCTTCAAAGCGTATTTTTTTTAAACAATTCTTAGTGGAGAATAGAAACATGCTATTTCAGCAATGAGAAATCATTGGTACTTCCAGCATTCTAATATTCGTAGGAAGGTAACTATCGCTGTTTGACAGTGACAATAGACAAACTACTACTACATTACATTGTCTATATAACTAATAAATGATTATATTAGTCCTTTTACTAAATGAGCCTTAATTTAATTTGAGTGATATCGTTATTTAATTGTGTATTTATTTGAACGTAACTGCGCGTCAATATTCCATTAGTCGATTATATAAACAGACAGCTTGTGTTGTACGATGGTTTTGAAGGTTTGAACATTTTTACGAAATAGAAGAATATTTTTCTAGTTTAGATATACTTTGCTTTCACTTGCGTTTCGGCCATTAGTGGATCACAGAATATTAACTATCTGATCAAAATACGTTATACAACTGAAATATTAGTGCCATAAATAAAAAATATAATTTATGTTACGTGTGAACTGCGTAATCAATTAATAAATGTTCTCTACATTGAAAAAATATTTGTTTTAATGAAAATGTATAGATACTTGTACATTTTTTTTCTTTATTTATTTGATATTTTGTCACATGACCTAGTTTAGTGATACAGCAAACGTACAAGTGCCTCTATCTAATTAGGGCAGGGTTCTAATAATATAAATCGCCTGTATGTGTCAATATCGCAGTCGGTTCGTTATTAATATTGTTTAAAGACCATAAATTAGTTGATAATTAATATTCACGTCCAGCTATTAAAGGTACTCATCGCTATGAAAATATGTAATTACATTGAATCGAATTAAGGTAACCCACAAGTTACAACTATTATAATGAGTTTTCTGCGTTGTTTCTATTTTACATGGACAATATCTAAAAATAATTAATTGTATTTAATTTGTCACTTGTCAAGCAATAGTTCCTTGAGGGATCTTTGAACTTAAATTGACGGGACTTAAAAATAGTTGTTTGTAACCACAATTTAATTAAGCTATGTAAAAAGTGCAAAGAGTGTTTATTTAGTTTTATTGTCACTTTGAAACCTAATAAAATTAACATATTGATATTTTAAATTGACGCGCCACTTTCCATGCCCGGTAAATATTTCCTATAATTTTCCTGAACTAAATGGTATGTTTATAGTTAGATCTATACGACCTTTCACCTCTTTGTTCTTGCATTATAATTTAGTAACAAATATGGGTGCAAGAAACAAATGTTCCACATAGTGCTCTTTTTTAAACGTTAGACGTTGGTCATGTGACGTGTGACACGAAATA